ATCACAATCCATACATTCATCCCGGGTGTCCAGCACATTTGCACATCTGCCGCCATCATCCTTTTCAAAGCATTCTCTTCCCACTGGAGCCCCTGATATCAGCTCCCCGGTGACTGGTCTCTCAATGCTGTCAAGATCCACTCATGTTACGACATGTACCAGAGTCGTTTCTTTTATGTCTGAATGATATTCCGTGGTGTCAGGGGCCTCCAGGAAGTTCCTGGGGGAATCCCCCTATCTCTTCATTCCATTTTCCCACGGGCATTTTCAAGCCCCCCCCCGTTGGTGTTCTGCGTCATTTGTGCATTTGCCAGCGGGTGGGCTTGCCGCCTCCTTTTGGCTGTTGTGAAGGACACTACTGTGGGTGTGGGTGCCCACGTTCTCCACGGGCATTGAATAGCATTTTTGGTGGTGGCTGTGTCCCAAGGCTAGGTCCCCCCCCAAAAAAACCACCTCTGTGAATCCACAGTTTAAATCCTCCTTCTGGGACCCTACGTGCCAAGTAACCAACTAACAGTGGACCCCTCCCCTAGGATCGTTTCCTGGCTTTGCCCCTCGATGGGCGCACATTCTAAGTAGCGCTCGGTGCTAAACCCAGCTGCCTTTCCTGGCGTGCTTGGCAGTGGACACATCTCTTTCTCTGGTCAGCCCCCTGGACTTGGTTTGCGGTTGCTGTTGCGGTTTGGGGCCCTCAGCCCTCTCTGACTTGGAGCTAGCCCGCACACCCCTGCACTCTGCGTGTAGGTGGTCCTAACTGCCGGCCACATCCAAAGCAGGAGAGCCAGGGCCAGTGCGATGCTCTGCCAGCCCTCCACCAGGCCTGCCCGGGTGTCAGACTCGTTGGCTCAGTGTAATTGAGCTGCTGTCCAGCCTGCTGACCTCATTGACTTTGGCGTCCAGCTTCTTCGTGGCCCACTCAGTGGTTAGGGGAACTTGTAGTCCAGCTGGTTTCTCTCCCAAGGGTCTTTGGGCACCTTTGGGACCTTGGTTTCTGGGGCTGCCAGAAGGTGGGTGATATGTAAGCAGGCCTTCCTTCTCTCTTGGGGGGTCTGTGTATGCCTGAAGAACAAACAGACCTGTCCTGGAAAAGGATAGCCGGAGGGTCCCTTAGAGGCGAGGATGGTGAGACCTCGTCTCACGTACTTTGGACGCTTTCTCAGGAGAGACTGGTCCCTGGAGAAGGCTTCCATGCTTGGTGGAATGGAGGGGCGGCATGCCTTCTGTGGGAGAGTCACAGTCTCAGAACCTCTCTGGGGCAGTTCTACGCTGAGCTCAAAAGCTGCTGGGTCTGAACTGCCCCTTCCGGGTAGCAGCCCAGCACGTCAGCCTCGCGCCTCCAGGACTCCGTTCTCTGAGTGAGCCTAGACTGACCGGCGTCTGGTTTTTCTGCCAGGAAGTCGTACGAGTTTGAAGACGTGCTGCAGTCCTCCACGGAGAGCTGCAGGGTGGACTGGTACGCGCAGACCAAGCTGGGGCTCTCCCGCATGCTGTCCGAGGAGAACGTCTACGAGGACATTCTAGGTGAGGCTGCTGGTCCAGTTAGGCCGGTTGCTTTAGACAGAGTGCTTCAGACAAACGCACATACCAAACGTCAGACACACAGACACACCAAACCCTC